CAAGTAGAGAATTTATCATTCAAGATGTAGATAGATTGCTTCATTCCTTAGAATAAAAAGACTGGTCTAAAAATGATCTCTGTAGTAGTAAGCCCTTTCTCATTTCTCCATCAGTGAATTGCTCCAGTATTCTACACACAATTATGTTTTTCAGCTATTCATTACTGCTGATTTTTTCAGCAAAAAGTAGAACCCAGCACTCTCACAGTGAGGACTTAGAGCAAATAAGCTGCCATCTTCTTCCCTATGTATGCCATCACATAATTGAAGCTGAACTATAATATTTAACAATATGGTTTTGCATTTTGCTGGCATGAGGAAATGCACTTTGAAAGATATTCAGCCTTTATGTATTTCCAATATAGTGATGACCAGACTTTTAAAGAAAATGGTTGTTCATTTTGTTTGTTCTATTTCTGGAGAAGAAAACGGTACTAACTGAGATGAGATGATATATGAAAGATTTTTATCCAGCTGTTTCTGTGTTTTGGAGCAGAAATGTAATCTCATGTATCTTTATTTGTTTTCCAGGAAAATTAACTCTAAATATTAAATGGCCTTTTTTGATACCATATTGTAAGCATTGTGAGGTATAATCATTCAAAGCTGTGACTTCATATACATCTGATTTTAATTCTTAATTTGGGAATAAGTGAAGAGAAAGAAAGCAGTATTAAATAATTTTGAAGAAAAGAAAACTGTAGAACTGTTTCTAAGACAAAAAGTCTCAGAAAAGTGGCTACAGGGTATGTACATTTGGTTGTATATTGCTGCAAAACTGTTAGAAAATCTTCACATTGGGGTCACATTTAATTACTACACGTGTTTGATCAAGGTCCTATTTTCTATGTGCTGTAAAAAAGCAGGTGTATTAGTCTCAAGTTATTGTAAATTATGAGAGTAATATTAAAAGGCTGAAAAAAGTCAACCACACGTGCATACTAACTATAAATGTGCTTTCTAATGTTCATATGTACAGATATAGATGTTATATGTACATATGTATTATATTAACATATGTTTACAGAATAAAAGTCTGCCATCTATATAGGTTTCAAAGGTGCATCAAAACCCCAGTCTCTCCTAACTTCATGTCAGTCTCATTAAACATTCTCAAGACATGATCTTAAAGAGATACCAAAATAAATCTAACCAGTTATTATTGTAGTGTTCAGATACAGGGGAAGTGTTGCAGTCTTCCCTCTCTGTGTATTGCTGAACTGTAATAATTCAAGAATTATTTTAGATTATCCCAACTTTGGAACTCAAATTAGAATGAGAAAAATTGAAGCAAGTGGTGTGCTTAATGTTTAGGAATATTGAATTGGCAGCTTTTGAATATCAGTTTCTTCTTCGTATTGCACAGAATATTTTACCTAGAGAAAGGTACAGTGCTTGAATGAATGAATGGCTGTTGTGTGTTTCTTGTTGCTGCTGAGGGTGTCTAAAATAGTCTGAACAATTGATGCTGTGCATCTTGTGCACATTGCTTTTTGGAGCAATGAGTGGAGCTGGTAAGTGAATACACCTACACATACGGGTAAGAAATAGCAGGCTGCAGCTCTATGAACTGGTAACTATGGGGCTTCTGTTCTGGTTTGTGGTACTGACATTTACCCAAGACCTGTGAAAAAGAAACATTCTTCAGCTCAGATCTAGGACTTAGGTCACTTCTGAATCTGTTAACCTATTAATTTTCTGCTCCAGTTGTGAAACCCATGTCATTTAATTCTGGAAACTGGCTATGATAGAATTTTTCTGGTTTAGGCATCAGCTGCATTTTCTACAGATCCTCGATATTACTGTCTAATCTCACAAGGTTCTTAGGTTCTTTGCTTCCTTTTTTTTTTTTTCCAAAATGAAAAGTAAGTGAGAAAGAGAAGTTCAAAGAGGATTCTAGAAATCATAGAATCAACTGCTGCTCTCCAGCCACTCTGTCCCCAGCCTGGAGCGCTGCATGGGATTGTTATGGCCAAAGTGCAGGACCAGCACTTGGCCTCGTTAAACCTCATCCCACTGGAATCAGCCCATGTCTCCAGCCTGTCCAGGTCCCTCTGCAGAGTCCTCCTGCCTTCCAGCAGATCCACACTCCCCCCCAACTTTGTGTCATTTGCAAACTTGCTGATGATGCACTCAATCCCCTCATCCAAATCATCAACAAAGATATTAAAGAGATCTACGATGTTTGGCTCCTTCTAGGTATAAATGTTAGACTCTTGATGAATAACTAATCTCTTAATCTTTCAGGAGCATGCACACTTAAGATGTGCACAGGAGATACCACTTGTAAATGGCTGAAACTTTCTACTTTAGAAAAAAGCTGTCACCACTAGACATAGCACTGGAAGAGGGATTAATAATACAAGAGTTTAACTGCATGTTGATAGTGATTTGTAAAACCAGACAACATAAGGTTTTGCATTTCTATACTAGATCCCAGTTTTGTGTCATGAATGCCATTTTCTTTGTTACTTAGTCTTATCTGAGACCAGTGGATTTTGAAGTTAAGTAGTTAATGTTCCACTCCTTTGTTTCCCAAGGAGCCTTTTATTTAACACTTTAGTTGGAAGTGATCTACAGGAGGAATATAAAGTGCACATTGCTATTAAATTTCTTTTTTTATGCTTTCTTATTTTATACTTTTGAATTTACTGTAACTTATGATAGTTCTGTCTGTACTGCAGGACTTTCATGAAAAGTAATTTAAAAATCATCCCACCTTTTCTCTGATTGCAAATGTTCTGTTAAGACCTCTTATTTTTAAAAGCGCCTTTCTATACCAGGCTCACTAAATAATGAAAACGAATTAACATGGTGTTTCTAAGGTTGGGTTACTCATTTTCTGATCTGTTCCTTTTAGAATGTAAAGTCACTGCCACTGAGGATACCAGGATTACTCGCCACCAATGATACCAAGGTTACTCTCAGACAAGAAGCCTCTATTAAATCTATGCCTCCTTTACAGTCATTCAAGACATGCCAAGGGGGTGGGAACATGATCAGCATATCTTTGTACTGAGAGTTGAGGGACTGTGTATTTTCAATTGGTCTTCACAGCCCACAGGGCAGTTGCCCTCTGGCACACATAAGAGCAGCCTCCCTGCTATTCTGAGGGATGCAGAGGGATGCAGTGGCAGAGTCAGTGGGAAGAACAGGGCAGTCTTAGGACTGAGAGAGACCAAAGGCCATTTGTGGACTTTTACTTTTGTGCCCACAGTCATTAATCTGTGAGTCTGTATGAAATTGATAACTTATTCCCCCTCCACTTTATGATGATAGTGAAGGGATTAACAGGACAGTGGCAATGTTGTGTGCTTTGGGGAAAGTGAATGTTCTTGAAACATGTATGAAAAGGAAAACTGTTCATATTTTTGGGGGGAATGTGCACCTACCACTGTGTGAGGTAAATGCTTCCTTAGTTGCAAAACATTATAAACTTTCAAATAAACCACAGTAGGCCCCTTTTTTTTGCTACTCTTTTGACATAACCCTTACTCCTTTCTTTTCTTCAAATTTATAATAATCACAGAATTCAAAGACAGCTACATCAGGTGGTAATTGTGCACACAAAGCCAATTTTCATGTCTTGTACAAATAAAAAGCAGAGTCACCAATGAGGCAGAGCTTCAACATGGGTATAGCAGGAGTTGAAGAAGGGCAAACATTGGTGTTATCATAATAAGGGAGCTACTACATAATCTGACAAACCACCATGGTTAATAAGCATTACGATGAACATTCATTTTAGATGCAAATTTGTCCTTTGTGATGCCTAAATTGGGAAAGAATGTGCTTGAGTGTATGCCCAGGGTGAGTGTAAAAAAGGCTTTGCCTGTATCATTTGCCTGTTTCGCAGAAGATTCATTGCTGTTTTTTGACAGAGGTACAACCCACCAGACAGCAAAGCCACAGAAGTGGTCAGAAAGTAGGGGACAGCAGAGCCTGTCCTCTTACCAGGGAGGCCCCTGTTCATCTATCAGTAATCCAACCAGCCATCTCCCAGCCTAGTTATTATAACTTCTTCATAATATATGGAGTGCCTTGTGAAGCCAGCAGTCATTGCTCTGAACGTGTTGGATCGTTGTTCTGCCTTTGACTAACCTTGTTGTACAAGATGCCCTTCACAGTAGCTGGACAGCAAGAAGGAACATCTCATAGTGAATATTTTCCTCTCCTGTCAAGTTTTACTCAGCAGGTCCTTATAGCTCACGGGATCTTTCAGCACTTCTACAGCTCATTCTTTTCCTCTTGCTGTCTTTGTTAACAACAGTGCAACATGACCACAGTGACAGAAAAAAAATGTCCCTATAATGCCAGAAAACTTGCTGCAATTTCTTGGGTAATGAGTGTGCTCTCTCTCCCACCAAACAGTATCAGCATCTGTGTTTTTCTCATCTCACTGGTTGATACTACTGATTACATTGTCTGATTCAAAGCCTGGAAATTGCCAAGGTGACAAGGAGTTTTTGTAATCTAAGAGTCTTTATAGTGAAGTGCTTCTGTTTGGGAAATTAGATTCTAGTTTACTCTGGAAAAAAACTTTAATCTTGTGTATCTGCTGACATTGTGTTATGTGAGCATTTTATCCCACTGACTCTGTGACTGACTTCTCACAGACTAAATAAACACCAGCAAATCTGTAGAAACCAAATAGAATAAAGTGTTGGGGAGTTTAACTTTTCTAACATTCAGTATTGCTGTGCAGTCAAAAGTGTTCTACTTTAAGCTATTTTTCCTGTTTTTCAGACAGAAATAGAAGTTATAAGCAGGTTAGTCTTCCCAAACAGGTGGTTATTTGTTTCTGCTTTTCGTCTTATTTCAAGTGAAAAGGAATGTGTCTTTGCATTTTTATGGTATGAGTAAATAGAAGAAAAAATCACTTCTTAGACATGGCAACACTGAAAAAGCAGTTTAGTAGGTAGAGCACATTTCTATTGAGTCTTCCTAATGTCACACTTCTTACTAATGGAAAAACATTCTCTTTATTATTTCCTTTGCAGATATTTGTATGCTCTAGGACAGAAGGTTTGGAAGCGGTGGAAAAAGCGCTATTTTGTTCTTGTTCAGGTTAGTAGTCTGCCATGAAATTGCATTAAAAAGAATTCTTGGACTATCAGTTTTCTTACCTTTGATTTCTGAAGTCATTAGTAAATCAGGCAACATATGTAGTACTACTCCAAGATTCTTACAGAATAGAGACTTTCAGCTTTTTTTTTTAAATTTACATACCTAGTAAAAAGAAATGTTACTGAGTTTTGCATATGTGTTTCAACTGAAACCTAGAAAATTCTGAATGAAATTGTTGTGACCTTGTAATAGTCTGCTGACAGCTTTCTACCAGCACTCAATTTGCAAGTCATATTTCACAAAATGAATTGCACTTTCTGTTTAATTTATTCTGTCTCAACAAATACTTCTTGCCTTTAAAATTAAAGTATCAATAGTTACTATTAAGAACTTTTTCTAAATTTTTTAAGAGTAATGCAATTTTTTGTTCTTCCTTGTAACATTAAATTGGTTGAAATTATGTAATTGTTACATATCTAGTGTAACAATTGTTCTTGGCCACAATGGCTTTGGAAAAATCATAATTTTCCATTTGTGTTTGTCTTCAGATTGCATTTGATGTTATTCTGAGTCAGTTCAGTGTATACTGTTCTGTGTCCTTTGTTTCACTGACAGAAAATTCTCAAAGTCTGAGTCTCCATAAATGTCATACAGAGGTTGAAGTCTGTTAATGAGGCTTCATTAAGAACAAAACCTTCTAAAACTAAAAGGAAAGCCTGATTCCTTTCTCTATCACTGTCAGTCACACTCACCTGGACTCCTACTCCTAAATGATGAAAATTGTAAGGATGTAAAAAAACCGTTACTGAACAAGTACTCTATTAAAGTTCAAATACAAGAATATTTGCATATTATTCTTGCTGAGCTTGATGTGTAAACCTTTTTTTTTGCCCTGACTTCAGTGGAAATTGGCTTGCATATTGATAATCAGTGAGTAATGGTTATAGGGTTGAACAGGAGCTTCTGGAAAGTCTACAGAATTCATTTGGGTTCTGATTTTACCAAGGTCCTCTGTGAAGTGATGAGGACCTTTTGTGACTTTAGTAAGGTTTATAAATGTTTGGAAGATCTCTAAATAGGATAGCTGTTAAGGCATGTATGTGAAGAGAAATTAGTGTAAAGTTGCCAAGACAAAAAAATAAGAAAGGCTAGATGCTCCCTTGTCCTTCATGCTTTTCTTTAACAGTCATAATTATCCCTCCTTTTAGAAAAAGAAAAACTTGTTCTTTTCCTCTAAGCCACAGGTGTCATCTGATCTTTAAAGTGTAAACCTAAGAGACACATAGTCTTTACGTGTATACAATATGAAGCCATCATCAGGGATACCAGTTTTTTTCAGCCAAGTTGATTTTAGCTATCTTCTGCTCTCTATGCTGAAATTGAAATACTGGAGGAGAATATTACAGGAATTTTCCAACTGTGATGGGATTTAGCCATCTATTTCGTTTTAAAACGGCTATCGATTCAATAAAGCTATATAAAAAAAATCATGTTAAATCAATAGTTACTGTCCAGACAGCTCTGGCTCATTTATGTTGTCCAGCTGTGATACATACACTGACAATAAGCTGAAGTCAATACATGTGAAATAAGCATTCAGTAATGAACCAGTCTGTTGTATTGATACATTATTGACATATTGACAAATCTTGCTCTATAGTTTAACTTTTAGCTTATGGTAGTAAAATATTAAGGCCATGAAATTCAGTTCTAATACAAAGGCTATCGGTATGATTTGCACATACTTTGGAAATTTAACTCAGGTGTGACATTAGATGAATAATGTTGATTTTTAAGGAGTGTGATGTGAATAATGTACACCTTCATTATTGCTGCACTTAATAGAAGTTGTTAGTGGTTTCTGAAAGAATCGATCAGTGTTAGAGGAAGGTTACAGAATCTGGAAATTTTAATGTCTTAATTGTATTTGGTTTTTATCCTTTTACAATCCACTCACTTCTGTAAAAGGTTATTCATTTAAAACCAGAAAAAGACAGGAACATAACATGTTAGGTAAAAAGCCTCAGCTGGGCATGCTGTGTTTTACTTCATTTACTGTCTGATAATATCTTCCTCCAGTAATCGGAATGCAGATTCACTTCTGTCATTTTAATTTCATCTGTTCTAATGTTTGAAAAGTCAGTCATTTGTTTCATGGATAATTTTTTT